CACACACACACACACACACACGCACACACACACACACATATCTCAATTAGACAATATTTAATGAGTCAAACGTATAAATGCTTTACACAAACATACTTTCCAATGCTTATATGCTTATATGCTTATATAATGCTTATATGTACTCTGATGGAACTGATTCAGCATAGGTATGCATGCAGAAGATGTGCAAGCAATAATTGTCGGCATAATGCACGTTTACCAGAGATATAGTGGAAAATTAAATGATTTGATTGAGTGATGGAGTCAGTTATTTACTATGTCAAAATTCTATCATCATTTTAGTCTCATTCGGATGAATTGAATGTTAGGAAATTTTTAAAAAATAAAATCATCGAAGCTTTGTAAGAATTTGAAATGTTTTTTATTTAAAAACATGAATTGTAAATGTTGAGAAATTGTTTTTAAAATTTTTTGTTTCTGCTTCTCTTTCAGATTAAAATATATCTATTTTGCAATTAAGAATTACATGAATGGATATGAAAAGCAATTAGCTTAGCATGATCAATTAAATCAGAATTGGAAAAAGTTTTAATTAATGTTGCTGTAGCACAAATAAATAATATGATTACTTTTCATTAATCCACTCTTTCGCCTACTCCCTTTGCTACATTTCTTAATACCATTCAATTAAAATATCTTAGAACCGCAAATGGTGTCTCATTATTTAATATACCTCTTGCTGTTTACTCCGTAATGAGATCTAACTTATTCATAATATTGTAGTGAATTAGTTAAACAAGGAATAAATTTGCTAATTTATGTTTTTGAACATCTAAGATAGAATGTTACAATCCAAGAAACTTTTTTAATACATAAAGAATATGACATTATGGAAATTTAGCTGTTAATTATCAAAAGCTAAAATAAAATAATGAGAGGAAGAAATGAATGGTGCAGAGAGAGGAATACTATGATTAGTAAAAATGATTACAATATCTCATTTGATAATAATAGAGACGTTCGTGTAATTGACTTCTTTTCTCCCTGCTATATAAGGCCTGTTGATTGAGGCTTGAAAGTTCTTCAATTTGCTCACTGACATGTTTTATTCTCATACTCTCCAATGTTTTAGCACAAAAAAACTGCAGTGTTTCTATTCCTCTTCATTATCATCATTATCATTATGTATTGAGTAAAATTTCTTCACTTTCTTCTCTTTCTTCTTTAATTAATATTTGCTATGTCATTTAAAGATAAAGAATGAAAGGAAAAAAAGAGATAACTTTAGGATTAAATTTTTCAATACAATATTACGGATATTAAAATTTCATAAATTTCAGTTGGTCCATGTGCTATTGATTATACGATGATGGATCATCAATGTGATCCGTACGAAGAACCCTTAGCAGGTGAATTGGTAGAACGACATCGCAACACCCATTCATGTTCAGCTACTCCTCCTACACCTAAAAGACCGCCATTAACGGTTCGATTATTTCTTCAAATATTCAAATAAGAGAAAATTGATATGATAATGTTAAAATGATAATATTTGGAAAATAGATGGAGAAAATGGATTTGTTGGAAAAGCAGAAGAGAAAAGATAATTGCAGTATCGAGTATTTGTTAAACGAATTTCAATTTGTAAATCATTAAAAGTAATCCACATAGCACAAATGATATTTAACGTGAACTTCCACGTTAAATATTATTTGTGTTTATTTTAGGTGATGAAGCGTGGTAGTAGCATTGTAACAAGCGTTGATAGTTGTTCATCGCCAATGTGTACATTTGGACGTGATTATGTGTATTCATTACATCAAAACGTGAAAGCATCTTTGTTATACGGTAAAAATAATGTCACCGCAGCTATATCACCTGATGGACCACCAATGAAGGGTTACCTATCGTTGCATCAGAATTCACCTGGAAATGTAACTATTAAATGGTCACCTAATCAACTGATGCATTCAAGGTTTGCATTAATTAATTTACTTATCAGTTACTACATTTCTATCTATTTTATTAATTAATTTGCTTATAATTTAATGAATCAGTTAAGCATTTGAGGGAGATAAAATTAGAATGCGACATTTTTATAATATATGAATTCAGCTCACAACCATCCTCAGCCTCTTGCGACAATCTTCCCTGTGATAGTGATTGGCTTTGGAGGCATCTTATCAATATTAATATCAGCGACATTATCTACGTACACATACATCAGTATAGTTAGTCTCTTCTCAACAATTCTCTTTATTCAACTTCACAAATTCATAAAAATCATCGTTTTTTTAAATCAAACCATAAAGATAGAATAAAATCAAAGAATATTATACCAAATATTAGCTATATTCAGTTGATAATCTTTGTATATTATAATATCCAAATCAAAAAATTACTGATAAAATCATTAGTTTGCCTTACATAGACAAAAGACAGTTCGTGAATAAAGTTGGATAGTTTCAGATGAGAATTCACCAACAACATTAATTTTCGTTGGAGGTGATGGCGTGCAACATTCACCGATGCAATTCCCGGCTGGTCATCATTTGCTCGCCTTTCTTTCATGTCTCGAGAGTGGTTTAGCACCATACAATCGACTTGATCCACCTTTATGGATTTCCAGAGAGAAAGGTTATTATTATTCTATTCCATTTGTTAGCAAATATTTAAATTAAATTAAATTATTATCTATCAAAATAATGCTGCAAATTATATTGTAACATGATTACATGGTAAAATTGATAATTGAACTAAATTTATCAGTACCATTCAATATCTATACTAGAAAATAAATCCATAACTGAAACTAAACAAAAATTGATGTATATATTACCATTGAACAAATTATTTCCATGAAACTCAAAGAAACCGTATCTGTTTCTTTTAGAAAATTTCAAATAACTTTTTCTGTTTTTAATAAACTATTATTTTTCCATCAGTCAATGATCCGTTCGTTCATTGATCATTGATAATGAACTGTGATTCATTCATTTTAAGGTAAAATATTGCCAAAACTGCGACGAAAAAGCATAACAAACGAATTGAATGCAAATTGTGATGAAGGAAGTAAATCACAGGATTACGTATTCCGTGTGGTACCAACCTGTACACCACCACTGTTACTCAATGAACAAAATAATGCTTTAGATGAAACTGTTATTCGTGAAATATCAACAATTAATGATTCAACCACTAAATTAAGGTTACAATTATAGGATTACAATTTTTTTCAACAATGATTATGTCTCGAATTGTCCAACAAAATAATTTCCTCCTTTATTTTTTTATTTGAATAAGGAACAGTTTAAAGTATTAATGATAAACTTATTGATTTTACTCTCAAAACTTTCAGAAAGCGAGATGAGAAACGAGCAGTGAGTGAAAGTGAAGTTGATGAACTTATGAAGTTAGTTCGAAAAGTATTATAACCAATGGGTTTAGTGACCATAGATCATTTAGTTTCACTACTTGGATTCTTATAGTTGAATAATTACGGAATGCGTATTAGACAAGCAATAAATTTTATCAGTGTATCAAATAAGTGATTAACAGAAAAATTAGCATAGCTAAAAAATGAAACAATACATATTAGGAAACAATATAACAGTAAAATTTGCAAAAAAAATTTTTTTTATAGTATAAATATCTCACATAATGCTTTACTTACAATACATATTAACTTTTATAAAACTTTCCGGATCTACAGACAGAATTTCAAAAAAGCATGTTCTTCCATGAGAATGCAAATTTTGGCTCGAACTTTCTATGGATGTAAGTTTTAATTCTTTTCACTATATTTTGAAAATAATCACTTTTCATTTTTTGCATTTTTAATTCATTCTAATCATTGCTTTCTATGCAGCAACAATGATATAAAGTATAGATTTGGAACATTGAAAAGAAAGAGAGATCAAATGAGACTAGTCGGAGATTCTTTTGATATGAAAACTTTTTCTTAAGTAATTTCTTGAAGTGAAATGCTTTATTTCAACCCTAATCATCAATAAATCATCTTTTTTTTTTGTTTCATCAATTATTAATTTACTATTATCCAAGTGTTGGTATGCAAATCAGGTTAATTAGGTACAAATTAAGTTTGCTAATCAGGTGCTATACTGTTGCTGAATCAATGAACATTTCTAGGGCTAGCATATTGTGGTCATTTGCGTACGATTCGAAACCATCTGTCATGTTTGGTAGATTCGAAGGCAATAGTAGAGGAAACAAATGGCCCGGTTAACGAGGATTTCTGGAAAAAGTGCCGGGATTTAAAATCCGTTAGTGATTTTGTCTATTTTATCACTTATCTATCAGATGATTCTTAAAATGTGTTAACAAATCAGGAGAAGATGGAGAAAGAATTCCTATCGAGAATTTATCGATTTGGTATCAATGGAAATGAATCTTTCATGCTTCGGCGTAAAGTTTGGCCATATCTATTAGGCCTGGTAAATTGGACACAGGATTTCGAAGAGCTTGAAAATACATATCGTGCGAATTACTATAATGATGTAGTGGAGTGGGAAAAGATCGAGAAAATTGTTCGTGAACGTGATCAAGAGGCATTCGTAGCCGGTTAACAATCTTTTACTTTTTTATTCAATAAATTTTTAAAAAAAGAAAAAATGATTTTTTAAAGATAGTTTTAGGAGGAAACGAGTAGGAAGAGCAAGATTATATATCGATAAATTCATGAATTTAATCTCTCTTGATTTAATCTTAAATTTAGATGCTCACTACATTCAACATTGCTTAGTCATAATTGTTAGTGGCAAGAAAAAATGATTATTCTGAATGCAAAAACTAATTTTATACAAGTTATTTGATAGTAGATATTGATGAGATGATAAAGTGATTAGTGTATCAGTGAGAAAAAGCTAGGAAGATGAAGTTTGAATTTTAATTTTCATGAAATTAATCACAGTGGAAGAGAATATATTTTTAGCCCGACTTCGATATCGTACGTGTAATACTGAATCCAACGAATCATTCCAAGGAACATCATTGAACAATGATGCATTCGAGGAAAATAATGAAATATCCAAAAATGGGAAGGATAATGAAGAGGTAAAAATTCATTTCACTGATATGATAATACTTTTAGTGATACGATCCTTCTCAAACGTTATTTTACTAGATGAATCGCCTCTCTATATTTTATCCATTTCATGATCAAATTTCAGGAAGATTTAATGACAAAATTCAGTGCTAATCTTCATCGCATCGAGAAGGATGTGGAACGTTGTGATCGAAGTTCAGCTTATTTTGCCAAAAAAAAAAATTTACAAAAGTTAAAAACGATCATGTGCACGTATGTATGGCGCAATTTAAACGAAGGTTACACGCAAGGAATGTGTGATCTAGCAGCTCCACTATTAGTCATCTTCGATGACGGTTTGTTCAATTGATCCACAATTAAAATTGTAATTCCTTAAAGAGAGAGAGAGAGAGAGAGAGAGAGAGAGGAATAATAATGTTTATTTTTTGCTATTGCAAGCAAATTACTTTATATGAATAACAAATTAAAATATTCACAATAATTAATTATCTAATTATGCTATAAAATTATTTCAACAGATAAATTAGTATAGCAATGATAATATCCAGCACAAATCAATCACACTATGTAAAGAACTGGACAGGAAAGGATAGATATTCGTAGGAAACACACTGATAGCCATTAAGACATGTGGTCATTTACAGAACCACTGGTATTAGCATGTTTTGATCGATTAATGCTACGAATGAAACAAAATTTCCCTCAGAGAACCGGAATGGACGATAATCTGGCTTATATGAATTCTGTCCTACAGGTATCCTTCGCTCTTGTCCGTTTTCGTACGATATTCTCCAATAAATGCTGTGGGTTTTTTTTTTTTTTTTTNTTTGAATCATTACAGATTGATAAAATCTTTCTGTTTCTTTGAAATTTCACATTTTCCTATTTCAGGTTATGGATCCGGAATTTTTTGAGTATATAGCTGAAAATGGTGATGCAACACATCTCTCTTTTACTTATCGTTGGTTTCTACTTGATTTTAAAAGAGGTTTCTACTTTTTTCTTCATTTCTAAAAGCTGATTAATTAGTTATCATTTGTTAGATTTTCAATTAAACCATTTATTTAGTAAATAGATAAATAAAAAAATGTGAATATAATTGATTGATTAATGAAGTTGTTCTATCGAGCAAACAATTTATGATAATATTTATCTTCAGAATTTACCTATCCACAGGTGTTCCGTCTTTGGGAAGTAATTTGGGCAGCATCTTCATTGGTCACCACTCATTTTCATTTGTTCTTTGCTCTTGCAATGATTATCGCATATCGTCACATAATTATTGATAATCGAATGGACTTCACTGATGTTATCAAATTTTATAATGGTTTGTAAAATCATTTTATCAATATTGATCTTACTCATTTTTTAAAAAAAAGACTTTTGGCAAATATTTTTTTCAAAGAGAAAATAACTTTTCAATAAAACTGCAAATCAATTGAATATCTTTATTTTTTAACATTATTTTTTGTGATTTATAGGGAATGAATGTCCTTATTTGTCATTTTCAGAAAATATTTTGAATATAAATAATTTGATTATTGTCATTAAAAATTTCAGAAAATTTAATAGCCTCTATTATTACATATATGTCTGATTTAATTTACTATTAATTGTTTTTTCAATTAATTTTAAGCTTCTTAAAAAAAAGAAAACGGAATATAAATTTGTAGAAATGGCAGAAAGGCACAATGTGGATGAACTTTTGGATTCTGCTCGCAATCTACTGGAACGTTTACAAACTATTATTGTGGAACTCGAATCAACCAAGAATTAATTGAATTTAACCGTTACAGAGTTAAAAACTTTCAGTCTAATCATTTTTTATTACTATTTCTTTACTTGAGATATGAAGTGAATTGTGAAATTTTTATAACACACTTTTCTTTCATTTCAAAAAAAAGAAAGAAAAAATAATCTTCTTCCATAATTCTAACAAATAAAAGATAACATGTCATTTTTTTTTCTTCATAGTTTTGTGAAAATGGAATTGAACTTCTAAACGATGATTTTAAATAGTAAGAATTTTCTAAAATGCAATCATTGACAGCAATAATATGGCATTTCATTTTTAATCAAAACAATTTAATTAAAACTTTTTATCGATCAATGTGATAATGGATCTGATGTATATCTGCTTTGTAGTTCTGATGTATGTCCAATTTGTAGTTCTCTTACATATTCACATTGAATTTCTCATATCTATCCATTAAGTTTTTTAACAAGCAAAGATTTGTTCTTTCAAATATTACTATTCCATGAATGATTTGAAGAGAGTTAGAAAATCAAAATTAAACGTCTGTATTTAACTTATTTTTAATGATACAATCCATTGACTGTGTAAATTTATAATTTTTTTGCTTCTTTATTTTGTGTTAGAACAAAAATGCGCTTTTATTTTTTTAATACTAATTTACAAATATTACAGTATTCAAATAACTGCTATGTTTTCTCTGTCATATTACCGGTTCGAATGTTTTGTCCATCTGTGATCTGTTGTAGACTTTTCCATCTATCTGTTTATAAGTGACTGTCCATATTGCCATTTATTTTTCTTTAATTCCAATGGCTATTTTTTTGTATTTGAAAAAATTTTTTAAATTCAAATTGCAAAAATAATCATGTACTTATAGAGGTAATTATTGGAATCATTATTCATTATATCGATATTAATTATACAAGTTCTGTTTCGTTGTAGATGCAGCTTCTTTGTTACAGGTATGAGGAATGATTCATTTTCTGCTCTGAAATATAGGTTAGGTAGTAACACTAAATTCTTTTATTATCAAATGATGATCAGTACCATTTTGTAGATAAAAATTTCTGATAAAAACGAAAAAAAAAGAAAACAAAAAATTCATATCGATTAAAAAGTTGATTTGAAAAGTTTTTGAATAAGTTTGAAAGGTTTATTCCAGCTCTTACAGGGAATCAAAATGCTGAAATGTTTAGCTTTTGTATCAGTTAATCGATTATAAATTACAATAAACCGAAGCAATATTTGCTTCATAACCTGTATAAATTTGAGGAAAGGAAGAATTTCATCTTTTCATACAATTATTTCGATATAAAAAAACGAACCTTTCTTGAAAATAACAATTGTCTTCGTGAAATTCTTGAAATGCTAATTAAATTTTAATAGCAAAAGTGTTAGGTGGTTTGGAAAATATCCGCTTGTTTTCAATACGGTAAGTTCATTTCGTCTATTTCTTCACAGGATTGAAAAGCAGCATAGATTTATACCTCGTGCTTGATCATGTTTGTTACCAAGATCCGGAAAGCAATGGTAGTAAATAATTCTAAATTCATTCGATACTAACTTTTCCATTCACTCTGTAAAATTAAATTATTATTATTTTTGAAAATATTATCGCTGTTGATATTATTAATATTATTGATACTATTATTATAATTTGTATTATTATTGATATTATTATTAATTATTATTATATTCTTTTAAAATAAGACGCATGTGCTCATTGAGTAACGGCCTTCAGTTAATGAACTTTATCCTCTTCATTGACCTAAATTCAAAACTTACTTATTTTTCTATTCTTCCAAAAGCAAATAACTTTACATATGTTTTCCAACTGCTACGGAAGACAACAATTCTCAAAAATTGTTAGAAACTTTTGCTGGTTCATCTTGGAATTAATTAGCAATAAAATCTAATTCCGCATAAAAATAATTATATTCATTTATCATATGCAATTGGTTTTATTTATCATATTCACTTTATCAGTGTGAAACATATTATTGTACTGAAAAAAGATGAAAAATGATATCGTTATCAGATTCAATCAGATATCATATCATTAACTTGAAAAAGCATTCATCATTGTTTCAATCATATAACATTTGGTACGTAAAAAATAAAAATAGTAAAAATGATTCATTAAAAAGGATTGGAAGATTGCATACCGCAGGATGCGGAATGAAATTAAAAGGAATGAAAAAGAATGTGGAAAAAAAAGGGATATAAATTACATTGATACTGTATATTGGTATGTATGGTTAAGCATTGATCCGAAGAACTTCTTGGACAGGGTCATTCATTATCTCTTCTCTTTTCGACCTTTTAAATGTTACAGTATGCATTGTAAATTCTTCATCCGTTGCAATTCATGCATCATTTCAATTATAAATTTATACATTTTGCATCAAGTATTTTTAGATATTAATCAAAATTCCATGATATATGTCATTTTTTAGTTTAGCATCACAATAGTTCGATTCTAATTAGCTTTCTCAAGAATCGATGATTACTGCATTCATATTATTCTCAAACAATTTGCAATGATTTTCAAACGATTAAATTGACCTATATGGACATTTTTTATCCACGGATCTCTTCCTGTCTACCTATTAAATTGCTACTTTTTTGTTCAACAAATTGAGAGTGTGTGAAATACACAAAATTTGTATTGTCGCCTAAATTTTAAAAATTAACATTACTCCGCACAACCTTTTTCCTGGTTTTTTTAAAAAAATTGTTTTTTATCATAGGTTAAAATAAACATCATGCCATCAAGAAATTGCAACAATTTCGGAAATATGGAGAACCTCCATCATTCATGCTTACCAATCTGTAAGAGAATTTACAGTTATGAACGATGCACCATCATCAACAGCCTTTTCAACCAGTGAGAGATGCCCGAAATGGCATTCTGCATCCTCATCGGAACTTCGAACTGCTAGACACTTTTACTATAGATTTGTATACATAATGGAAACGTGTACAGCATGCAGAATGCAGCAGAACTTTCAAAAAACGTAGCCGTTGTAACTAGCGAAGCAGCAGTGAAAATGCACTATGTGCACTGCTGCTTCTATATTTTTTTGGAAATCAAAATTTTTTTGAAAAGATTTAAAAAGCTGTAGAAAAGTGATCTAGACCAGCAATTATCCTTCATTTCCAACCAATAATGCAAGAAATCAAATCAACAATAAAGGTATTAATCAAGAACAAGTAATAAAAAACAATCGACAATTTACTCTTGTTTTGAGTAATAAGGAAGGAAAATCAGTACGATTTGATAATTGCAAAACAAATAAAATACAATCAGGAATATTCGGAACTTTACAAAAAAATAATTCCTCCCTCCAAACTATATCCATTGTTTTGTACAAAATCGCTACAAAGAGCGATAAGAATAATTTTCCAAAAAAATCTAATGATGAAATATGAGTACATACATATCCATATCTCATCGCTATGTTCTAGAAATTATAAATAAAACTATTTCAGAAATATGAATTACGGAAAAACTTCACTGAAAACATCTCCAAAATATTTCGTAGTCCACGCATATTATATTGTTATTGATCAACGCCTGCAATCAGCAAATTCCATAGTGATGGAAAAAGTGAAAGAAAAACTTTTTTGGCTGTGTTTTGTAAATTTTTTTTGTTTAGATGTCACTTCTAATATTACCAATATTTATTAATGATAAATATCAATCTAATTTAAAATGATAAGCACCTCACAATACATTATAAATAATTTCAAAAATAATGAGAAGATTTCCTGTATTAGCAATGTCACCCGCATCAAGGAAGTCACCATTTATCACAAAAGAGATGAACAACTATGCATAGAAATATTTCGTGAAAATATCTAACTTTTCGTTCTACTATTACCAAAAATTAAACATACCTAAAAAAGATGAAGTTTTGAACTGTTTGAGCCCAGGTGAAGATGAATAAACAGTTAAAAATTCATTGGCAACTTTGAGAGAATTCTTTTCTTCTATAATATTCAAAATTTCAGTACTTGATGCAATTTTTCAAGAATGCAACCAACAATATTACAATAATAATTATTATAACTTTACCAGCAACTTGAGAGAGAAGAAGTAAAAATAAGTGAAATTTTTTGCAAAAGTTAACTATGATTGAAGAAAGAAATTATAAATTTGTTTAAGACTAACCGACTTGCTGGAATTCATTTTGGTCTCGCCTAATATCATCAAGAAATTCCCACGAACCATTGTCTTCTTCATGAGTATAGCAATCCATATCTTTCATTACATTTCTCCACAATAATTCATTTTTCAGAGTACTCGCATCTTCAGCAAGAGGTGAAAACTTTCGCATAAGCGGTGCAATAAAAGACAGCGATCTGAAAATTGTAACTGACTGCTAAATACTGTTGAAATCATAATTTTAAAGCGATTTTCAACTCTTATATTTTTATCAAATCAAAACGAACAAGAGATTTCTATAACTCTACTTTTTATAAAGAATGAAATGGTATTCCCTCAACCTGTAGCTTATTGAATCTCTTCTCCCAAAACAATAACCTTCACAGTTCATTCTAAAAAGAAATCTTGTGCCAGATCTGTATAACACAAATTTACCTCTCCAAACTGTAAGAATCAAATGGAAAATGAGGTTCGAAAGGCATCATCTCTGCTGGTTTTGCCGGCAAAATATGATTCACATACACAAGCTGCATGGACCTGCAAATCAAGTAAAAATCAAAATTTCAAAAGTTAAGTCAACTCAAAATTAAGCGGAATTTTCAACTGATCCTTAAACCAACCTTAGAGTTTATTAGAACTTTTGTTTATGTGGCAAACATCAACTTTTGGGAAGATTATAGCACATATCCGAAAAAATGAAAAAAAGATATAAACAAAATTTTTTAAACTCAAAAAAAGAGATTTCATATAAAACATTTAAATTTGACCTGCTTATTGTTGCGAAACATAAAGCGACCGGATGGCTAATACATGACAACGGTTCCAGTGTACTGTGAACAATATGTCCCAGCCCCCAGTGATGTATCTTGGCCATTTCTGAAAATAAATTGCACAAAGATTTTTATCTTTTCAAATCCACATGGAATATGAAACTTCAGTATCATTACTGCAGGTCTTGATCCTGAGGACTATAAGTCAAACCTGCCTTCAAAAAATCTCCACTTACAGCTTCCAATTTATTCTGTTTCATCAATATGTTAATGTCAAGCTACAGTGATTCAAGTCAACTATTCATCCAAAAGTACTGGTTTCTCATGCTTCTTAGACTTCTAAAATTTATATTTCATTATTTCAAGTCACTAAAAAATAATGATGACAATCAGGAGGTGATAAAATAATGAAATTATGGTTGTACTTCACGCAACAAACCATATATTAATTGTTGAATACTACTATAAAACAGCACCAAACGAGCATTAACCTTGTGCTTGTACTATTTCGCGATATCGAAAACAAAATGCAACAAGAAAGGCTTGGAATACAGCATAGAACGTTCCATGTCGAATCGAACCGGCTGTTGCACCAGTCGTTCGATCAACCATTTCATTCACATAAACAGTACACCAATGTGACAATACTTCCAACCACTGCATCGCTGTACTGAAAACAGAAACCAAAGAACTGTGACCAACAAAATTTGACTTTTAAAATTTTCACTTTCAATTAACAAATCGTCCGCACTGAAATGAATTATAACACAGTCTAAAGTAGCGAAACTGTAAATGAAATTTTAAAATAACATAATACTGGAGGAAGAGATACATGAATAGGTTACCCGAGATTAATATATGAAGCACGAGAAAGCATGCTACCAATATAACAAGCAGCGCCCTGCGCTTTCTTCCAATCATTAGGAGCCTGGTTCAATCGAGTAATGAAACTCCACAGCCAGCTCAGAAAATGTTTTTGATAACTCTGCAATCACGAAAAAGTCTTATCTCAAAAAAAGAATTATATGCAGAATTCTCAATAAAGAAAAAGAAATAGAAAAAACAAGTTTAGAACAACCATACCGCATCAAGACTGCAAACATAAAACCAAAGGAAAGGTACGTTTTTTAAGCCATGAGCCATTAAAAGATGCTCCTCGAATACAACTAATAACTCCTTCAATACTTTTTTTTGTTTGGATACTGGTGGAAAATAACCACAATCTGTAAATCATGACTGAAATGTACTTGATACGAAATTTATCAAATCAAGAGAGTTCTAATTTTTTAAACAGTAGCTTTTAACTCAAATATCTCATTTGCAGCTGAAGATGAAATAAACTTTAAGGTGTAAAATGTAAATTTAGTCTACGAAAGGAACAAAATTTACAAGTCGAAAATTTTAATATTCAGGATTGGCATTTTTCTGTTATAAAATCAGCTTATAAGTGTTTTCAAGATAAGAATTCAAATGCTAGAAAACTTTTAAGCAAAAAAAGGATGTACCTATTTCTGTCGGATTCCCTACACTGCAAAGTCTTCCTATATAATGGAACATAATACACATACAAGCATCCAGCTTTTCCACCTTATCATTATTATCTCGCACTTCACTAATTTTTATGTCGTATTCTTCGTCCTTAAAATGATAAAAGAATGAAAACACAAGCCTAACAGAAGTCATTAATTAACCTCGACTGTTTCGAATATTCATACCGTATTGAGTAAACTTTGTGTCAAAATATATAAAGCTTATTTATATTATGTAATGGTCATAATAAAGCTTAACCTTTGTAATTCAAACAAGCCCAGATGATTTGATGGATGTAGGTAATCTATACATAACACTGTGCAGATTAACCATATTGCACTGTATGATCGAAAAGTCCAGAAGGATTATTATTCTTTTCCTTCAACCTAATGCCTTTTTCCAAAGAAAAACGAATTAGTATAAATATATCCATCAAACTAACCAGTAAAAATATATTCAAACCGTCGTCAAAACTATCCTCCTTCTTCTTTGAATTCTCTGCTTTCATTAATACTCCCTGAAATTACATTTCCAATTTTTTAAACAATGCAGTGGCTATATTCCAATTCATTCTTTCTTAAAACGTGGAATAAATGAATTAAAATGAATCATAATACTCACATCGAGTTGAGCAAGACCGTCAATAATGATGCAGAAAATATCCTCTCGACATTGCGGGATATTCTGACATATTACTATAAGATTTTTCACATAACTAACATATCGAATTGATGGTACTGAATGATGTGGAAAGCGTTGACGAATACTTTTAACGAGAATTTTTATTGCCCTAAATAAATCGAGATATTACGACATTCTCAGAAGTTATTCAACTTCAGTAGAACTGCCATCAATTCTTTATATCAAAAAGTTTTGATGTTACACGCTGAAGTCGGTATGTAACATCAAAACTTTTTAATATAAAGAATTGATGGTAGTTCTACTGAGGCTGAAAAGAAAGATGAATATAACAAGTGGTGGGAAGAGAAGGAGAGAAGATTGAACTGTGAAATTTAGGCGGATCCACAGAACAGTGACAACAAAAAGGCGACGGAACATTTACTAATTAAGAAAAACTAGTAAAAAGATAGCGTGGAAATGAAAGTATCCGAAATGAACAAAGTCGCAGATGACAAAAATTTCAAGAACAATCAAGTTCATTCAATAAATTTCATTGCTTCAACTTCAAGACAGATTCATTTCGACATAGTTCCCACGCTTATATTTATTTTTTGATGGTCTGTTTCATTTGTCGTTGTAATGTACATTAATGATACATTTCTTAATCATTTTAAGAAAGCCTCATTATTGCAATAAAACTGATATTTTATGGAAAATTGTGGAAATACAACTATGCAAAAATTAATTATGTGTTAAATATATTTTTAAGAGATTTTCATCAATTTGCAAGAAAGAGGAGTAAAAGAATCATCTTCACTCCTCTTTCTTGCAAATTGATGAAAACCTCTTAAAAATAAAAGTTTCGGCACACTGTTCGAAGCTAAAATGAAATAAACCAAACATGTTGGTACAGCCAACATGGGAACTTACAAAGGAAAACACTTTACTATAAATGCCAATCCATCACTTGCCAATTTGTATATATTATCCTGTTCTTCTTCTGTGAGACATAGCGCAAAAGCAGTGTTATTTCCTTCTATAATATTATTTTTATCTTTTGAAATATTAAACTGTAACAGAGAAAATTAACCAATTGGAACTCTGCTCATATTAAAAACAGAAAACATCAATTGGTTCTTCACATTTCATCCTTTGCAATGCAATTTTTATTCCTCTACATGCTGAATTTTTCCTAACTGATTTAATGGTCAGATCGCTATGTTTCTATTTATTCATTTTCCGTTTCGAAGTTTACAACAATTAAAAACTGATTACCTTGATTTTGATCAGCAATAGAAAGAGGTTGGATTTTAGCAAACAAGTGTCCCACGAAACATTTCATAACCGATTCAGTATGACAAATGTATTGTATACCAATATCTCGAAGCAGCTTCACGAACTGAGGTCGAATTTCACTCGGAATAAACTGCCAATCAAGTTGCTAAATGAGTTTCACAAATCAGCTTTCGAGGTAACTTTAAGATTACCATATCTTACTCTAAATTTTGCTGTGGTTCTGATAATAATTTAATCTTAACAACTTATGGACAATGAATGGAAAACAAGGTCAAAACTAGTATCTATGCAAACGAACGTCTAGAATACGATTATGTAGTAACTGACATGGTAATAGGTCACGTTAACAACCTTATAACAATACTCTCAATAGCATAAATCTATAATGCATCAATGAAATATAAACTAACAACAAATTTAAACACGAGCTGTTTACAGCGATGGTCAAACAGATAGGCGATATCCACAAATTGACGAAGAAAGTCGATGACTGCTTGTGAATGCCACTGGTTCAAAAAATCAATAGCCTTACATAGTTTATTGTATGTTAATAAACCATTTATGTCCCCCTGAAAAAATTATTAAATTAACATTCTTCATATCGCTGCCAAAAGTATTGGTCACTAATATTGCAGTATCATACTAAACGATTGCAACATGGTGATAACCGCAATGATTGCATGCTGCATGCTGATAACTTTCCGTAAACATGGATATTCGCTTACAGCATCGGCTTCAAGAATAAATAATCAATAACAGTGTTATATCATACAGTGTCCTTGAATATCTTAATATTTCCTAATGATTTTAAGTCTAATAAATTTGACGAAAAACTTACTGAAAGATAACTAGTAATAATTTGCTCTCCCGAAATTGTTTCCGGTTCAACGTTGTTCGCCATTTCAGCATGACAATCGTTCAAAAAAGAGCGAAAGAAAGCGCCTATTTGAGGAAAAAACTACTGTAAAATAAAAAATATTAGAGTGAAATTCCGAAAAACACACCTTCCACCCGTCTAAACCTTACTCATTCAGGAAGATAATCAGATCTCATCCGGTCAACGAGACCTCATCAATCCCCAACGACCTCTGCCTAACTGAACATGAAGTACATCAATTGTGAAGTAACCAAGTCATGCTGTGTCACTTTTGTCCACTGAACCATTATGCAAAATGATTGTTGCTACATACTACGATCTATTTATTAGAGATACAAATAGGTATGTTTCAGATGCTAATAGTGAAAAGATTTCTTTCAGTTCTGTTTTCATTACATGATTGTTAGCTTCTTATCTTCATTCCAATCAATAACATGTATTTCTTCATGAATGCAATCTCACTTAATCATTGTTTCACATTGAAAAATTCGTTAATAAAAGAATTTGTAAATTGTTTGATAAGACATTATCATCATTATCTGTAAATTATCATGAAATTCTTCATTATCACTTTGCCCTTCTTGGAATGCTATGGGAAATATGAGTAAAAATATGAATGAGCAGTGAGAAAAAAGCTGCTAAGCCATTATACTTTTCCTGACGTGCACGGTGATTTTTTTCAGCCAAAAAATAGTTGGGAATTAACGAAATACAAACATATTATGATATGCAAAACTCTAAATAATTAGGAAAATGCTAAGACTTTTGGAAATCTATTTATTTTATCAATTAATAAAATGAACAATTATTCACTTTACATGGATCATATTTTGCTGACATACAACAGGAAATTACTTCTCTTCATCATTCAGATTCAGGCAAAAACATTCATAATTTCAATTACTGTAATATACGATTCAATTGGATACCTTCACTGCACGCAAAGTGAAATTGAAAATTTTCATTCCTTTTTGATATCTCGCTGATAAAATACATTCGTTTGACAGATAGATGTAATTACTACTAGCTATGTAGCTGACTCTTATCTCTTGGATAATACTCAGTTATATAGCTTATAGGAACTACATCTATCTGTGGAGCCAGCATTCGGTCACAACCGACTCAAGAGCACTATCTCGATCAAAGAATGGACATATATGAATCGAATTCCTTGCCTCGTTCTTTAATTATTTAAGAAGTATGGAATTAAAATCACATACAGTTCATCTTGATACCTGCAGAATGAAATATCATTTTAAACAATGTGTTATATAGTGTGGGGTGAAAATAAAAGTATTCATTGAAGAAAAGTAAGCTCATAAAAAAATAAAAGTTGAACTTAATTTCACGTGACTAACAATTACTCAAGTATGACTATTATCCAAGTGTTTTCATATATCTAAATTTACGAATGATGGCAATTCTCTTCGTTTCGAACTGCGTATATGCATCTATCTCGGCAGTGCCCAACTTCTTGCGAAATTTCTTCCAGAAGACTCGCAACATTTCAACACTCTCTTATAGCCGACGCTCTCTCTATCGCTGGGACCGTTCGGCTAAAATGTGATAAAATTAAGAGCAAACTGATTTAATTCATGAATTTCAGCCATCTCAAACTGATTTAAGTTTTTAATATACCGACTCATGCAATTATCAAAATTAAAATTTTTAATATATTGATTCACAATTATCAAAAAAACAGCATGATCTCTTAACTACTCCATCCCATTCCCCTACTTCGGCATTATTCGCCTTTAACGGTATCTCAGGCTCTTCTTTTTCTTCCTCATCTTCGCTTATTTCTAGCCCATGAGATATCGAACTTCCATTCATTCTTGCGGTTTTTTTTTTCCTGTCTCTCGATTTCCTCCGGCCTCTTCTTCCCAACCTCAATTTCCTTCAATCTCCTCCTCTGCTCCTTCACTTGCATAGAGAAATTCTTTCTTCTGAAATACCGAAGTGATTGTTGTATCATTTTCTTTCGTAAAATGCTGAGGGAACGCTTTCTTTAGGCATTAAAATAGTTTTTACGAAACGGGAAAAATATGCAAAATCCATCAAGTCTACACGAAATAAGCCATTAGTACGCTTGAGAAACTTTTAAACCACATCTGTGGAAAACAAATCAATTGGTTATATCATTATTTCATTCCATATATGATTATATCATTCTATCAGGAAATATCTTCCCATAACATCAAAGATTTTAGCATACAGTCATGCCAAATTTGATTATATCCACAATTTATGTTTCTCACCAATTCACTTTTGCATAATTTACTTGCAAAAAGTTCCATGTTGAATTCTAAACTACTGCAGTGAATATAATGCTAATAATTGAATTATGGTATCTTTCACGTACCGCACATATTAAATCCAGCAGTATCCTTTAAACGTTCTCTCACTCAGTAGTCTGAAACAGTTATTTAAACTAAGCTAAGAAAAACCGCAAAAATCTGGCATGCATACTAAGAAAAACCGTGATTATTGCTAATATACGTGCGGAATTTCATTTGGCTTTACCAGTCGATTATTTTCCATTGTCTCGTTCAATTGTTTTGTGTTTATATCACATTTCTGAACACTTTTGAGCGCAATTTTTATTCTATATTTAATA